TGATTTTGTTCTAACAAATACTTGGTTTGATATATAAAAATTTTGTTTTAGCTCGAACGATGTGCCTACGAACTGCTACATGGCCGTAGCATTCTCCAGCGATGATTCTATGGTAATTTTCTCATTTTCCAAATAGAAATTCTTAAAATGATTTATTTTTAGGGAAGCGATGCAGTGACGCAGTGTACCTTCCCACCTGGAAAGGAGCCAAGTGCTCATTTCAGTTACAACGTTGGTAAAGCCAACGTTGTTCCAGCTGCAGATGCAGATAGGGTGGGTAAACTGACAAAAAACCCTGTATGAATTATTCTGTCTGAAATAGAATGAAGTGACAAATTGATTAGATTATGATAAAATTATTTCGACTTACTTCTTTCTCATTGTTTCACTTTACTTGAATTTATACATCTTAATTTGGCCACATTTTTAGATCGCTGAAGAGCAACATCTGAAGCTCATTCACGCTCATAAAGGAGACGATGGAATGTACTGCCATTTCCGACAAAAAAGCGGCAATGTAAAGATTTTCGAGGAAAAATTTATGGCTTTTTTTTCAAATTCGAAATAGTAAATTATTTCAGGGAGAGAACAGATTTGTTCCATATCTCAACGATAAACATTTCATATTCTTAGCTCGAGGAGTTGCAAAAGATCACAGAGGTTAGCACAAAATCATATTTTCAGCAAGTTATTAATGCTTGAGCTGCTCTTGAACTTGATTTTTCAGCCCTGGATATTCACGCTTTGGACACCAACTCACCAAACTTTCCTTATATTTCCGACAAAAAGGTTAATGTGGCTGAAGTGAGAAAGAGAGAAACTCCGGCGCAAGGTGAGGGAAAATCACCATGCATGTAATACATTTGATTTCATATTGATTTGCTTCTTCACAAACGTAATATTTTGAAAGTTAGGTAACAAGTGATATTCCAGTGTACGTAAGTATTGGGAAGTTTATTTTCACGAAAAATAGAGAGAGAAAATCGTGCCCTTTCCGAAGGTGCCCGATTCAAAATTTTTTGAGGGCATCAGCGATATAAGCTATTGAGAGAGACACCCAAAAACTAATTTTCCGAATTTTGGTTACCATAATTGCACGTTTACTTAGATTTGAATTCATTTTTGGTCCTCATTTTGTGACTTTTCTTTTTAATTGAGAGTTGAATGTCTCTGCGAATAATCAAGTGATTTTTTCTAATTCACTTATTGGTTTTGTTTCATACTGATTTTCAAAATGTACACAAGCAATTGATAAGTTTGTTTGAACATTTTTGAAAGTATTTTTTGTGCAAGAATTGTGCATCAACCTAAATAATAAGACTATGCATGACAATCTAGAAGAGGAAGAAATTCTAGTCCAAGATCGACGTATACAGAATTTCAAAAAACATCAAAATATGTATCTACAGCAATTAATTCGCTGTTTTTTCTTTTTC